AGAGAGACAGACAGACAGACAGACAGACAGACAGACAGACAGACAGACAGATAGACAGACAGATATACAGACACACAGACAGACACACACACAGACAGACACACAGACAGACATATAGATAGAGAGAGAAATACACTTCGTATTCCTATATTTTTCTTTTAAAAGCACCCGGATATTTACTGTCTAGCTGTCAGTCGCTAACATAGTCTATACCTGCGTTCTCCGCTCGGGTAACGAACTCTTCAGAAATGCATACTGTTGAAGGTCTGTCCTTCCCAGTTTTCCCTTTTTGTCTTTCTCAGCTTCTTTTGATTTAGGTCTGATGTAAATTTAGACAGACGGGTGGTTGACGGGTGTTCTGGTGTGGTTTGCTCCTAATTTCCTGCACTACTTTTTCCGTTATCGCTATCTCCACTTCGATTGCCGCTTCGTCACTTCTCTTTCCACTTACCGCTTTGTAAATGCCTCACTGACTTCCCGAGGTTGTTTTCTTTTTTCTTTTCTTTCAATAATCGTGTTCCTGTGGGTGGTTGCTCTGGTGTGGTTTGCTTCATCTTTACTGTTATACATCTTCTTTTTGTGTTTGTTACTCTGTTTCAACACCTCTAATCTTCGGCACTTATATACCTTATTGTGTTACTTTTACAGTAGAATTACATCGGTGTCCGCTGTTATTTCAACTATTTCACAACCGCCGTTTCCTTTGTAATTCTTGTCTCTGGAGTTTGAGGAGGAGGTGGAGTGGGGGGAGGTGAGGGAGAGGGATAGGTAGAGGGATAGGGAGAGAGACACAGAGAAAGAGAGAGACACAGAGAGAGAGAGACCCAGAGAGAGAGAGAGAGAGGCAGACAGACAGAGAGAGAGAGACAGAGACAGACACACATACAGACAGACACACAGACAGACACACTGACAGACAGAGAGAGGAGGAGGGAGATGGAGAGGAAGTGGGAAAGGTAGAGAAGGAGAGAGACAGACAGAGAGAGAGAGAGAGAGAGAGGGAGAGAGAGAGAGAGAGACAGACAGACAGACAGACAGACAGACATACATACATACAGACAGACAGACAGACAGACAGATAGACACACAGACAGACAGACACACAGACAGACAGACTGACGGACAGAGAGATAGAGAGAGAAATACACTCCGTATTCCTATATTTTTCTTTTAAAAGCACCCGGATATTTACTGTCTAGCTGTCAGTCGCTAACATAGTCTATACCTGCGTTCTCCGCTCGGGTAACGAACTCTTCAGAAATGCATACTGTTGAAGGTCTGTCCTTCCCAGTTTTCCCTTTTTGTCTTTCTCAGCTTCTTTTGATTTAGGTCTGATGTAAATTTAGACAGACGGGTGGTTGACGGGTGTTCTGGTGTGGTTTGCTCCTAATTTCCTGCACTACTTTTTCCGTTATCGCTATCACCACTTCGATTGCCGCTTAGTCACTTGTCTTTCCACTTACCGCTTTGTAAATGCCTCACTGACTTCCCGAGGTTGTTTTCTTTTTTCTTTTCTTTCAATGATCGTGTTCCTGTGGGTGGTTGCTCTCGTGTGGTTTGCTTCATCTTTACTGTTATACATCTTCTTTTTGTGTTTGTTACTCTGTTTTAACACTTCTAATCTTCGGCACTTATATACCTTATTGTGTTACTAGTGCTGTAAAACTCTTACTAAAACTAAAAACATGTTTCTGCGTCTGTCTGCTTTCTACCCACTCAGCCAGCAGTCAGGGTCAAACTAAGCACCCCCCCCCCCCCACTTTCCGCCTCCAATCTAAATTATCAACGGGGGCGATAAACATTTTGCAATGTGAGTGGTTGATATGGATTTTACAGTAGAATTACATCGGTGTCCGCTGTTATTTCAACTATTTCACAACCGCCGTTTCCTTTGTAATTCTTGTCTCTGGAGTTTGAGGAGGAGGTGGAGTGGGGGGAGGTGAGGGAGAGGGATAGGGAGAGAGACACAGAGAAAGAGAGAGACACAGAGAGAGAGAGACCCAGAGAGAGAGAGAGAGAGAGAGAGAGGCAGACAGACAGACAGAGAGAGAGACAGAGACAGACACACATACAGACAGACACACAGACAGACACACTGACAGACAGAGAGAGGAGGAGGGAGATGGAGAGGAAGTGGGAAAGGTAGAGAAGGAGAGAGACAGACAGAGAGAGACAGAGGGAGAGAGAGAGAGAGAGAGAGAGAGAGAGAGAGAGAGAGAGAGAGAGAGAGAGAGAGAGAGACAGACAGACAGACAGACAGACAGACAGACAGACAGACACACAGACAGACAGACACACAGACAGACAGACTGACGGACAGAGAGATAGAGAGAGAAATACACTCCGTATTCCTATATTTTTCTTTTAAAAGCACCCGGATATTTACTGTCTAGCTGTCAGTCGCTAACATAGTCTATACCTGCGTTCTCCGCTCGTGTAACGAACTCTTCAGAAATGCATACTGTTGAAGGTCTGTCCTTCCCAGTTTTCCCTGTTTGTCTTTCTCAGCTTCTTTTGATTTAGGTCTAATGTAGATTTAGACAGACGGGTGGTTGACGGGTGCTCTGGTGTGGTTTGCTCCTTCATTCCTGTCAAACATCTCCCCTCCTTTTTTTGGGTTTTTGTTACTCCCTTGTAACACCGTTTATCTTCGGCACACTCATGACCTTGTTGTGTCGTAAGTGCCGTTGTGTTAAACTCTTATTAGAACTATAACTAAATTTAGGCCTGGAACTGAGAACGTACGTTACAGTTAAGAATAAATTCCTCACCATGTGCACGTTCCGTTTGCCTTTGTTTACTTTACACGGCATGCATACTGTACTTTGCAGCTCCAGTTCCCGTCATCTTGTTGTTAGCGGGGCAGAAGGAAGGTTAACAAATCGTTGCATCAGAACTTTTTTGCCGAAAGTATCTCTTTACTTGACTTAAGTACACTTTGGACAACACAGTTCTGAGGCGAGGACATGTCAAGATGCCTGGTTATGGTAGGGTATTGTGTTTGCGCAGAGAAACAAACGTTCAGGTTGTACAGTTTTTCTTTTTTTTTCATCAGGAATAAGCCCCGCCCCCCCCCCCCCCCCTCAATCCCCTGAAATCCTAAACCCTCCCTTTCCTCGTTTGAAACGCATACATAACAAAAAGAAGAGTGTGTTCAACGAACCAGTCACTTTAAACATGAGAAGGAGGAGAGAGAGAGACAGAGAGAGACAGAGACAGACAGACAGACAGACAGACAGACAGACAGACAAAGAGAAGGGGCGAGAGAATGGAAGACAGAGCGAGTAGAGAGATAAAAAGAAGTATTTGATATCATTTGAGTTTATTGTGTCTGTTACATGGCCTAAAGGCCCAATAAGTATTAACATCGCAGCAAAATGTGAAGATTTACATGAGGAAGGAAGACAGACAAAGAGGGACACAAAGACACCAGTATTTAGGAGAGAGAGAGAGAGAGAGAGAGAGAGAGAGAGAGAGAGAGAGAGAGAGAGAGAGAGAGAGAGAGAGAGAGAGAGAGAGAGAGAGATTGTGTGTGTAAATAAAAAAAAGGCAACAAAGAGAGATAGGGGAGATGAGCAGATAGACATGTGCAGGGAACAAAATTTGAGAAAGACAGAGCAAAGAGTGAGACAGAGCAGAGAGAGAGAGAGGGGGGGG